AACTATTTTCTCAGAATATTACATTGTTACACTGTAAATAGTCGTGTTACTAAATATAAAATCAACTTACAGTCTTTTAAGCAAGTGATATTAATTTGTACCTGATACAGGAATTGGATTAAAAGTATTTATGTATCATGAGTACTACAGGTAATTGGCATTACACAGACATGTCCTCATTACAAGTAAGATCCAAATCAGAGTTAGAAGAGTTTTCTTGCAGTGATGCCCAGAGGTGTGTGTGAGGCAGACACAAATGCAAACCTTGCCGCCTCCCAGTTAGCTCACTTGGTAGAACGCCGGACTGTTGTGCAGGAGGTCGTGAGTTCAAATCCGGCCGGACCAACACTCAGGGTCTTTAATTAACTGAGAAGAAAGTGCTGCCTTTGTAATAATATCTGCAAATGATTAGACTTTCTAGTCTTCTCGGATAGGGACGATAAACGGAGGTCCCGTCTCCTGCAGGGTTGGGGTAGGAGACATTAATTACCCACACACGAGATTCCAGTGTGATGGATGTCCTCCCCGGGGTCGGATGTGTGGGTAAAAAAGGGGTTAGGTGTCAATTGGAACGAAAGTTCTGTTCCTTTCTCCTGCCATTCCTGTGGCGAATGAATTAAACTTAAACTAAACTTAAACTTGTGTAGTATAATTTCAGCCGAGGGTCGGTTAGCATCGAGCTGTTTCAATGCTTAGGCAAACGTTGGGTTTAACACAAGCTCGCACACGGGGTGCAGGACACTCAACTCCTTTACAATCAACTGAATCTACTTTATTGCTTGAATCAAGGTTCTTATATGCATAATGGTAGCTAAATCATACGTGATACAAAATACAGAAGATAATACGAGTTCCCTTGGAATAAACAACTTAATTACCACGTATCCACAATTTCACAGATATGGAGGACACTTTCATGGATCCTGCAGAACTAGTGTTCCCACGTATCTTTAGATGGAAAACACGTACAAGTTTCCATATTCTATGCGACACATAGTAGGAATATTTTCACGAATACTCTAACAAAGGGTTACACATGAATCATATTTCCAGTTGTAATTATGTAATCAAAGCTTACTTTAGAATTGTTTGTCACTCTTTGTCGCATATCCTTAACTTTACAACACTTGCAATACTAAAGTGGACTAAAACTAACTGGTTTAAATGTTTTTTTCCTATCATTTGTGTGACCAGGTTATGGCCAATTCAGCAATCAACCATCCAAACCAATACTTTGATGAGAGCCGTCAAGTCACTCAGAAGGAACAGGGTGGGGCATCCAAAATGGGAAGTGCCACACCCAGTGGAATACAACATGGGAGGGTTGCTGTCAAGAGAGAGATCAACTCTGGTAACAAAGTAAATATTCCGAGCAATGGCCTAAGTGATATTTACATGAATGATGATGATGAGGATGACCTTCTGGGAGAAATAGAAAGAATGGATACCATAGCATAACTGATGGATAAATCACTACTGCAATAAGCTTTACAACTCTGCGGTGTAGATATAATTGTAATTTAATGAACACTGTGATCAATGATCAATGTGTCAGATTAAGTAATAAAAAAACAAATGCTACAGGCTTACACTGGTGTTTAATTGAATTATTTCATTTTACCTTTATTTTTCTTACCATGAATATTGCATATTACAAATATGAATATTGAATAGTACAAAAGTTTTTCCTCACTAACAAGTACATAATGTCATTTCAAATCTTTTCTTAATTTAGTTAACCTCGGCAAATGGAGTGCTTATTAAATGTTCTTACTTAATTGAGAGAGCATCAATTAAACTTACATGTATACACCCATCTGTGCTAATGGCACCTTGGGCTTGTCATTCTAAGCTACAGTACTGGTACTGTTAATCTATAACTTGTGCAAGAAGGTCAACAGTTTACAATGATAATTGAACAGAGTGGAGTGCAACTTGGTATGATGCAGCACAACTTTGATTTGAAATCACAAATAAGATTTCAGACCAAAATTGCACAACACAAAGTTCAACTACCATTTGATTGCATCCATTCTGAAATTCCAAAATTCAGTCCCTCAAATAGGACTTTTAGTCTGAACAAATATTTATAGTTCCAGCGCTGGGCTGGTTTATAAA